ATTTGGTAAAATTAACTGTATTTCTTACAGGGAATTACTTATCCACCGGGTACGTTTATGACCATTGTTTCTGAGGACCCAGGTGAGGTTTTTTGCCTACTCGTTTGGGCTACACAGTGTCAATGGGGGCTTACAATCATCGACACAGACTTTGTCGTCGAAAACGTCTTGGATATCGTTAATTAACTCATCACCGAACGTATACATGGTCTTCCTGGAAGTGAAGTTTGTACAAAGCAGAGAAGTAACTTATCGAGGTGGATAAAATTTTCTCGCTTGTAGGTACCTCTCGTCCTGTTGATGGAAGAAACCAGACTAGTTGAGAATATGTCTTTATTTTTATATCTTGAAATGTGGTGCCTGGCACGGGATTATCTTTTCAGACACAACGTCTTTGGACATTCAATGTAAGACAATAGGAAATATAATCCCCATACAAAATAAGGAAGTGAACAAATACTTGGGCATTAACATTTTCGCATTTACTTAGATGTTTGTCGTCAGCTCTTAACCAATCAACCTAAATTCCTACAATATTCCAAACGACATGTCACTCCTACCACAAAAAACAGAACGTTCGTTCGTTTTGTTCTCGGATATTTGCCTAAAGAAACATTCCTTTACTATCAGAGGCCAATGTTAACTTAATACGAATCCTAGAAGAAAACTAGTTAAATCGTCGACAGTGTTTAGATTTCGTGAACATTGGTCGTTAAAAAGCTAACTCAGGTGGACAATGACTTAACCATAAACAACTAACGACGTTTTTGATCTTTCAGCATCGATTACTAGGTGATGTTAAATGTTCCAACAAACAACTTCCGAGTCAAACGAACTTCACGCATTACTCCTGCGCCATACGCTCTCTTCAGGTGACTTTCTCAAACATCGATAACAGAGATGAAGTTTCCTTGTCCAAAATATCTTTTTCGTAACATTCATTTACAATATCATTGCACATTCTGTCATCTTGCGAACGCCTTCACAAAACGTGAAACTTACAATTTTCGTTAACTTACTTAGCACTTGACTGACTAAGTCAGAAATTAATTCCATCTTACCAGATGTTCTTTATATACTCACTCTTATTATCACCACATAAACATAGACATCATAAAATGCTAATTTCTCTAGGGACATCACGTCTCAACTCTGTTCTTTGCTGTCCCTTGCATCGTGTTCTTTTGAATAGTCTTGTCCCATTCTATGGTTGATGTTGTGTTCTGTTTGAAGTTAATCTAAAACAAAAAACGTATTAAATGTGCAACGAAACACGAGTATTCGACCAAACCAAATAATTTTAAAAATTTGGCATATTACAAAAGCATTTATTTAGTTAGTAAAATCCAAAAAATTAAACAGACTGTACGGAGAACCTCGATTCTGTGTCTGCATTTTCAGACTTTGTTATTATTGAGATGCAAGCATTTAACAGACTGGGAACACCAATCCTAACAGATTGACGTTAATACAACTCACTCCCCCTTAGTGGGGTTGTGATTACTCTAAGATGTGAATAGCCGGAAAACTAAACCCAACAAATTTGTCGTTGGTAACAACTCTTCTGGTGGCTCACTATGTTTAGCAGCTTCTGATCAGCTTACCATAGCCTGGTGAACCATGTTGTATTCCGCTTTACGACGAGGAACTTTAAAGGGTCCTTCATATACAGTTTTGAGGGGTCGTTGTATGCTTCAGTATGTCCAGGATAACTTGCACAGCGTTGCGAACGGCAAGTAACACAATAAAAAGAGCGCTACGCACGCTGTGATATGTTTGCAAGTGTGTCTTACGACCACCTGAAGAAGAATGCTAAAGGATGCAATGTGTTGTTTATTCATTGTTGTAAGACTCCGAAGCTTTTCGAATCTGATGCTTCTACTTGGTAGGGGGAGTTGATGTTATGGTGTGCGAGCATAGTTTTCCTGGTGATAATTTCACTAACTGGGGAGAATGCTCTTCTCGACCTGCCGTCCATATTGATGAATCTCGCATTTCCATGGAGTTGTTCTGTCACGGGGATCATGAGAGACGCGCGATTTGGCATGAACAACCGATAAACGTTAGCCGAACTGTTAAACGTACGCAATTGATTGACGGTGTTGGGTAGTCAAGAGCGGTCGCCAACTTATTTTTCAGAAGGCGAATACCTTGGGAATCAAAAATGTGTCCGAGAAAATTTAGTGATTAGGTTCCACTTTTAGATTTTTCAGTGTTTGTTGAGCTACAGAATTTTGGAGTTCTTTGAAAACAAGGTGCAGATGCTGGAGATAAGATTTTCCGTCCGGATTTGTTATCATGAGGCTATTTACTCAAGTTTGTATTAAGTTTAAACTCCCAAGGGCGTAATCGCTAAATCTTCGAAAATTATGTGCAGCATTTTGTAATCTAAAAGGGCTGCGCCAAGATACGTGGAGTTCGAAAAACGTAGTGATGGTGGTTTTAAAAAAGGTGTCGGCAACCATAGGAACTAAGTTTTATGCTTTGAACAGATCTATTTTGAAAAAAACAGTTGTACCCTTTCAAGTGGCTGTCAAGTAGTCAATGTGAGGCAGACGGTAAATATATGAGGAGTGATTTTTGCATCCAGTCGCCGATAATCTCCAGTTGAACATAGTAATAATAATATATATTTCTGCAAGGGCAAGTACACGCAATTTTCACAGGCATGATCTATAAATTACAACATTTATTGGTCCACAGTATGCATCTTAAGCAGGGTTGTTAAATAAATATAATCTATAAAAGTGAATATCAGTTCATTCGTTCAGATATACGGAGTAGTCTTCAAAATATTCTCCATAGTGGCATTGCATCCACGTTGCACACCAGGTCTAATCTCGGCATAATTGTGTTAGGATTTTGGTCGTGCTAAGTATTTATGTGATGCAACTTTTTAAGTTTATAGTTGTAATTAAGTAGACATGTAGAGCGCTCCGTGTGAACCATGACCTTGGGGAAGCACGTACGTCGAGCTTGTTTCAGATGTCAGAAGCTCCATAAATGTGCTCTCAGAGAAGGTTTCTGACAAAAAAGAAGCCGAGGAGCGGCTAGGATCTTGGATATGAACGATAAACAGTACATAACATTTTGTAATGGAACTGAGAGAGGTATGGTAAATTATTGTATTAAATTCATACTAGCTCATGCAGCTAGAGTGAGATGTGATCAGAGGCTCCAGATGAGAGAACGCATTAATAAAGAACACTGAGTTGTGATATTTACAAAGGTGAAGTAAGTTCAAATGAAGGAAGGGGAGTTAGGGTTGGAATATGGAGAACTGTTTATTAGAAAAAAAAGTGCATATAGGGAGTGATGTGTTAAGAATACTAATAACTATGTCTTCTATTGTCTGATTTTTTTCATCCGTTGTCTGTCACATAGTCATAATGTAAAAGTCCGAGATAGCACGTTTAGGTTCTTTTAGTAGAATAGCTAATCCAGCATAAGATTGGAAACATGTGTTTGAATGGTCAGCGTAGGAAACAACCTCAATACCGCGGACTGATTGACTTGCCCTCAAATATAAAGAGCTTGATACGAACGACAGTCATTGCTGTCGTTTCTAGGAATTTTATACAGTGAATATGACAATGGGCTTTTTCACTTACCGGATAATATCCAAGCCCATCATTCACCATAATTCGTTTTCGGTGAACCTTAGCTTTTCGGGAGCTAGTCAATAAGATTTCGAAAATACAAGTGTTCCTGTAGTTGTGATGTGGTTTTTGACATTTGCCGATAAAGTTCAGGGCACTTGTTGAGCATCCTTTGATAGCATGGGTCGATTGTATGGTTAACAGTGACAGGGGATGATATGTAGTGGTATTGGTTCCCAACCGCACGATCTATGAAGTCGAGCATATAACTTCCGAGATGATTTACATCCTGTAATGTCATGTTTTGCAATTTTAGGCTGTGTTGCCTTCACTACTTCTAGGAATTGTGCATGCGGGTCTATCATACTGTGCTCGTGGATGTTAGCTTTTGTGTAGCAGAACCAGGCTTCGATATTGTTGATTCAGAATGGCACGAGTTGTTGGATGAGAGGCCGAAGAGTCGTAATCCAAGATAGATTAAGTATCTGTTCCGTCATGATCAATATATGATATTCAAATAGGCGAAAAAATATCCAGGAACTTGAAAAAAATATCACAGTATGTAAAAATTTAAATCAAAACTTGATATCTTGTGTCCCAACAAGGAACGGAGTTGTAGCGGCATTGAGTGCTAAACACACAATCCCCAAAACTGAACACAAAATAACTAGAAAAAAGATATTCAACATTTAACGTGGAGAGAAGATCAGCCTAAGTGTGTTCTCCATCATATTTTGGCTATTGTTACGATACGACGAATCAGTGTAGGCAGTGATGTGACCTCCACATAAGATCTTATGGATCTACAATTTTAAGATTAGGTGTATTGTTAGAGCTGTACTAATAATGAAACGGACCATAATTCTTTAGATCCACAGTATATTGTTTGGTGTACCAAGTTACGTCGAGCGTTTGGTCTAAGCTGGCTACTAGTTGTAAATTATGCCTAGCGCTGCGTACCTGCTTGTGTTTTGTGCTGATACGTGACGGGTTATTTTCAGCTACGGTTTGTCAAATAAAACTAATGATGTCAGAAGATATGTCAAAGACTTTCAGAACCAATTATTTCGGCGATCTTTCCATGCGACAGCAACAGACTTAGCAGATTCACTTGGCTTTCAGAGAGTGACCTTTGGATGAATAATCAAGCTGAATGATTGATGCTGTCATATTTTATTGTTGCAACGAAATAAACTATTTGATACAGATACACAAAGCTACACTCTTGTCCAGTCTCGAAACCACAATAACCGGTTACTACTTAATTGGGTTTGTTTTCAGGCAGCTTTCGATAGATTTTATATCACCTTTAAAAAGTTTGCTTATCTTTGTTTATATCGTTCTAACGTTACAGGGGAGACAAAGGTCACTGGTGGCAATACAAATTTCAAAGATATCGTGATGTTCGAGGCTCGGCTTACGCAGGCTGATGTATGGAAGAAGGTCATTGATGCAATAAAAGACCTCGTACAAGAAGCAACTCTTGATTGTACAGAAAATGGTATCAGTTTACAAGCTATGGATAATGCCCATGTGAGCTTGGTGTCTTTGCTTCTGCGGAGTGATGGCTTTGAGACATACAGATGTGATAGGAATCTTTCATTAGGCCTGAACATCACAAGGTATTTGTATATATAATACACATTAGTTTCAGTGCGTCTAAAATTCTACGATGTGCTAGTGGGAACGATGCAATTACTCTTAAGGCTGGAGATAAAGCTGATACACTGACATTTGTTTTTGAGTCGAAATGTAAGTTCCTCACTGTCATTTAATGTTTTAAGCCCAAGATCGGTCATCGGAATTTGAGATCAAATTAATGGATTTAGATGTTGACCACCTGGGTATTCCCGTAAGTTGTTTTGCTATAACAATATTTTCCCCAGGATACTGATTATAAGTGCATCATACGAATGCCTTCTGCACAGTTACAAAGGATATGTCGAGACCTAAGCCAAATAGGAGATTCCGTCGTAATATCAGTTGCTAAAGATGGTGTTTCGTTCAGCTCAAACGGTGATTTGGGTACTGGAAATGTCAAGCTTTGTCAGTCCGCTAACGCTGACAAGCCCGAGGAGTCTGTTTCAATAGAAATGCACGAGCCTGTTTGCATGACTTATTCCTTGCACTACTTCAACATATTCACTAAAGCCGCTCCACTCTCAAGCCAAGTTGTATTATCTCTGACTGAGAACGTCCCTGCAGGTAATTTCACATTTAACTTAACTTATCTCTTAGTTGTGGAGTTTGAAATTGAAGACCTAGGTTATATCCGGTATTATTTAGCACCGAAAATTGAAGATGATGCCGACTAGGATAACTAAAGAAAACTCAACAGACTATTTTTCTACTTACTGTGCATCACAATAAATGTAAGATTTCTTAAACATGATCCCGTGTATTTTAAATTTGTTCCATGCCATCTCAAGAAATAGTATTCAGCACCCGTACTTTGTATTGTGTCTCTCACTGTTTTCACCCGTTTATATTTCTTCAAACCTTGTATTCTGTGTCGAATCTTTTCTAATACCATTAATTTTACTACCTTTACTACTCTAGGATTTTATTTAATTTCGTTCCGCTGTGCCAATGGGGCATGACAATTAGAACGTAAATAAACACGTTCCACGTTCTACTTTGCATTTGACCGACTTATTATGATCTTACTATTGTCTAGCCACAAATGCTTGTTAGTGTTATGTTCTCAAAGATTCTCACTGACTTGTTTCTATTAAAATACGTGTACTTGTAGGTAGTGACTGCGACTCGCGTGTTTGTAAATGGTCTACTTGGTGTTTATAAACTAAGCTATTGGGCGCTCAGACATTAAATCCTATCGTTCACTTCCTTTGTATCTGTCTTAACAGATTTAATTCTTAACTATTAAGTCACGTAACTTTATTTCGTGGTCGCCGGATCCTGATTATATCCGTCTGTCCACTGGAGGCTTAATATTAAAAGTGCGCGCTAAAGCTCTTCCGTCATTGTTAACCTACATTTGGTTCTTTAAGTTACTGGCAGCTTGTTGCTGATTGCAAGTAACTAATAAATTCATTTTGTTGATGGCGTGAACTAACACATAGAGGGACATAGCGTTCGTTTGTCCCACGGACGACATAGTGTACCCACTAGTATTTGACCACAGATGCCTTAGAAATATTGCTCGCATCTGCTGGGATCACCGGGTAAGTTATAGTGAGGTTAGACACACAGGGTATTAAGGAATAATGGTAAATCAGTTGATGAGGTTGTGAATCTTCATCGACTGGTGGTTGGGCCACGTACTACGTATGCCCGAACACCGGTTACCACGACGCGCAATGCCAACCGGTGTTGGAGATGGTTGGAAAGAAGTTAGGGGATGCCGAACCAAAACGTGGCATCAGTGCTTGAAGTCACTAACTTCTGGTCTGAGTTATGTTGGTAGATGCAGACTACTTGTTTGCGGTCTGTGTGACCATCGTAACCAATGGTTGGAGACTGTGAGTGACATGGCTCAGAATCGATCACAATGGCGTAGGTCTATACACTGTCTTCCCTTGAACTAAAAGATTAAAATCGCTTCTACGAACTAATTGTTTCTTCCTGCACTATATCCTTATATGCAACTTTTCTTATATATATTACCACCTTTGAATTAACTACTATGAATCCGGTGTTCATCTTGCTGTGCTTATGCGGTATAGTAACTTGGACCGATGCATATATGTGCCTAGTCCTACGTTGTAGCTGACTGACTAGTGTACCCACCGAAGGAAACAGAATTGTGTCTAGGGAGATTAAATGTTAGTAGTTTGCATTTACTAATATTTGGTGGTAACTAACTCCTGTTACCTAGTAGACTATTTTTAGGTGTAGTATTTACCTGAATTTTTATTTATCCTCAGTCTGTTATATTTGGGTTTGTTGGTTTATTTTCTTAGTTATTGCCTGAATAAAAAAGTCAGAGTCGGTACGTCAATTCGTGACACGTGACGCGGTTCTGCTAGGATTATTCACGTATAAGGATAGGGACATCTGTGCAGTAGTTTTTAAAAATATCTCAGTGAAATTGAACAAGGGAAGTTAAAATAATCAGAATAAATTGAACGAAATCACAGTTATCGATAGTTACTGCTCCACCAAAACCAGTCAGCAGATCTTATGCTCTTTCGAAAAGCAAATATTGTTTATGGAAAGTTAGATAACTACAGCAAGGTTGATGAGCCATTCTTTTGTGAATCATGTCTAATAACGTAGGACAGTCTCTTGAACTTTGCCTATAGAGTGATGATAAACTAGCGAACTTCAGTCTAATGGACCTGGTATTCTACGACTATCATAAATTAGATATAAAAGCTTTGGAGACGATAGTTAGGCTAACATATACAGGATGATGCAATGTATGTTGTGCCTTGTCACACATATTGCAATGATACTCAGATTTAATCTATGCAAAAATACGAATTTGGTGTTTTTTCATTATAAGTAGTAATACCCGATAACTACAGTAATCCTAACATTTCATACTGGTTCGGCAAATATTGTTCTTTCTTATAGGTTTGCTAATCCAGACGTGCGTTGTAGGTCTACTGTTATATCAGTATTCCAGACTTATACTGTTAATTTATTTCATCGAGGATATTTCCATGTGGTTTGTTTATATCCCCTTAAGCCTCGGATACACACTGATGGGATTTCGCTCTTGAATCCCCTCTACGTTATTTTTCCTCAATAACTGATATTAACAAAAAACAAATCACGGCTAACCTATGAAAAGTTGTCTGCAGGTGTATTTTTGAGTTTACAGGATAGAATGTTCCGTTGAATGGAGCAATTAGTCATAGCAATCAAAGCCTACATTCCCTGTTATATGGATATGTTAAACAAATCGTAAACACATTATTCGAGTATGAGGTTCAGGTCAAGTTAGCTTAAGCATGTACTGTTCATATTCTCGATGTACTGTACTTGCTGTTGTAGGGGTGGGTCAAAAAACCAAACAATATCAACTTAGAATTTCTAGCTATTTGTTTGACCTGTTTGATTGGTATCTTCGAGATCATCTGTGCTTATGTCTGAAAATTAGTATGACTGGGAATCAGTCTCTAGCCCAAAGGGGGACATTGCTTATTCGGGGTAAGTAGTTCATTTCTAGTTTGTCTACCTATACTGGGTCTCAGCTTATCATTTGTCTATTTTTCTCTTATCTTCCCTATTGGTCTTCACCATTACGTTCACATGAGATGTCTCAACTAGAATCAGCAGACATTTGTTGCATTTGTCCTATCGTTCCTATCACGGAGACCAGATGAATAGTCTTCACATTTATGGCTAAATAAGATATCTAGCTAAACTCTAAGCATCACATGGCAGATTTCTCAATTACAATGATCGATTTTGTAATTGATGGACATAAATCTTGTAGGCATTTGGTAACAACTGCGGCTGATTGCAAAAATCTTCACTATGTGTTTAATTAAATTACGAGATCTGGTCTATTATGCATCGTGTCAACCTATGAAAAAGGGTAATCTTCTACACTGAAGTGAGTAGTTTATTTTACCAACAGTATATAATTGTTCTATAGTTATCACGTCTGAAATAAAAGAATTAAACAGCATTTTGGTATGTGATATTTGGGGAAGAAATATATTGAATATTTATACTCCTGAATCTTAAAGACTTATATAGTCAAGCCACTTGCTTTTATTTCCCTATGACTTAGCGTAAAATATGAATCTAAAGAAGTAATTCGCGTAAACCGATTGTAATGATTCAAAAATGTATCGTTTTACCAATTTGTGCAGCCTAGTCGAGTTAGCACAGATTCAGTTAGTCATAATTTAGTGTTGCCATTTTTAGAATACAATAAAACCGTTTTCTTTCATTGGTTTCACATCACTTGGATACAGTTCATAAATATTTAGATTATCATTGAGTGAATATAGTTTACATACGAGTTTTATAATTCTACATTTTGAAAACGAAGTATCTATATCAAGTTAGATGCAATGAAATTTATACATTTTGTACATAGGAAGATAAATCTTAAGCAACTATATGAAGAAATTTAGCTAAATATAGAGTTGTAATGCTGGAAGCTACAGGTACACATTAGGATAAATAACCAATAAATGAATTTTGTGATAAGTAGGATGTTTGAACATGTAAAGGAAATAACAGTAGGAGATTTAATGTACTGGTAAAATTGCACTCGTTTGGAAAGTCAGGTGATGCACTCTTATTTATTTATTTGAACACAAATTTTGGTACAAGAGGGCACTAAATATATATGCGCCACACAAAACAATGGGAATTAGAAGTGAACAAGGGAAAAAAAGGTAAAGAGCGCTAAAAAACTAACAATACCGAACAAATTAATGTTAGGTAGTGTAATAATAATAATAATGGGGGGAAGCAGAAACGTACAATCAGAAGAGATCTTTCAGTTAAGGAAGAAGCAACCACTTTTTACGAAGAGAGTAAAAGAAGGTTACAATAGGATCGTCACTGATTCTTATTCTGAGTCATATCTGATAACGTCTCTGTGTTGCACCATCTCTCGGACCCCAGCCAGGAAGTCGTGAAGGACCAACACAAGCTAGCAAAGCTATTCAGTCAGTCTGCTGGTCATGTAAACTGTGCCAAATTTCTTTGTTTCAGAATCGGTTAGTACTGATTCACTCGATAAAATGAAGTCCCGAGGAAATTCAAGTATTAGTAAACTACAAGACATTGCAGCTGAAAGGCCTAACCCCTGCTACCTCAGGGCTATTGAGTATATTGTAGTCATGTAAATTAATGGTTTGTTTAATAGATACAAGGAACCGAAAGTGTTCAACCTAACTAGCTACCATTATTTTACCGGTCTTCCAAGATGTAGGCAAGGATTATATGCATATAAGATTGTTAAAGTGTGTCATCAAAGTATTATTTCCAATCATTCAGCGTAGCTTGTATAAAAATAGACAAAACTGATTTGATGAGCAGTTTGAGTTCTGTTCAGGCTGTCTTTACTATTAGCTAGTTGTACAGCAAGTTGATATCCTGTAAATTTGAGAACATTGCTCGCGATATCTCGGTAGTTTCTATGCCAGGCACTCATTATTGACGATAAATCTTGGTGGAAGAGACAGCGTTAGTCACCGTTGAATACATGAATGGGATGAATATTCTTAATATGTTAGTACTCGTTTGCTTAACACTACTGATTGTTTGAAATCCTATTGACCCTATCTTCAGTTATTGTTGGGAATGACTCTTAATTGAAATCATTAGCAACCTAACTGTAATAATCCACTGTTCATTTGTCATATGCTTGGAGATTTATATT